TTTCATCGCACAAAAGACAACTTTTCAAAATACATTTCCTATCTCCGGGCTTTCTCTTCCGAGATTCTCTTCCTATCTCCGCCTTTTCTCGTCGTATCTCCGCCTATTCTCGTCCTGAGTCCGCCTCGGCATTTTCTCCGGGTTGCGTCGGCCAAACCAGGATAAAATAGAAGCTTTCTTTTCGAAGGTGTTCTTTTCTTACCTCCGGGTTTTCCTTTCTTTTCTCCGGGTGCCCAATTTCGAAAAACCAATGCCTTTAGAAACCCGGAGATTCCTGCCAGATTTCAGTTGGAAAGCAAGTTTTCCAACGGCTCGAGACACGGAGGTGCTTTGACCCCCTCAAATACATGCAGGCATCCAGCAGACCGGCTTCGGGCCAAGTGTCGGCCACATCTGTCAGCGCAAACAGCTGCGGGACCTCCATCTCGACCTTCGGTTGTGGAGGAGCGGCAACGCACCGAAGAAAGTGGGGCAAGCGCCGCACAAGGCGAAGTCCAAATGCAATGGGGTAAGACCTGCAAGCTCGATGTGCAACAGTTCGACAGAAAATACTCATAAACTGTATACGCAACAGGTTAACAAGCGCACTAAGTTACTAGCTGGGTTTGCTTCAGAAATCTGTTGCCACTGAAAGTAATCTTTCCGTTCTTGTTCACCTTCTTCGTGGTCTTGACAATGCAAGATTCTCGCATTGCCTTGCTGAGCTTTCCTCTGTCGAGGCGTCCGATCTGCGAAGTGTTGCTCCAGCAAATATGGCGCTTCTGCAGAGTCTGTCAACTGGTGTGCCAGTTCCACCCTGGTTCTCAAGCGCTGCAGCAGCAGCAGCAGCCTCAGCCTGCTTCAGCTTCTCCTCTTCCTGCTCTTTTCTCTTCAAAGCCAACCTCAAGGGCTAACAGGGCGCCTTTTTGGGAACTGCAACATACAGTTCCACTGCAGCTCAGGTGCATTTCTTGGAGGTGCTGCCGCCGCAGCGCCAACCGCACCATGCTCAGCTCGTTCGGACCATCCTCTGATGCAGGTGGGGAGGGCTGAGATGCTTCTGCAGAAGGGCATCGGAATATCGATGCGATTAAGCTGCAGAAATGGTTGTCGAAACCCTGCGAGTTAAATGGCTGCGCAACCATGAAAAGGGAATAGAAAGCTGCGAGCATGAAAAGGGCGCCAGAGCTGCAGATGGTCTGCGGGCATGCACAAATGGCTGCGGACAAGCAAAAAGGGCAATGTACGGCTGCAAAAGGGTGCCAGAGCTGCAAATGGTCTGACTGGCACACACACCCAATGGATGGAAGCCAGGACTGACACACACACACACACCCAGTCCTGGAAGAACCACCTGGCACACACACCCAGTCCTGGAAGAACAGCCAGAACTGGCACACACACACACACACACACACCCAGTCCTGGAAGAATAGCCAGGACTGGCGCACACACCCAGGACTGGCACACACACACACACACCCAGTCCATGGACGGAAGCCAGGACTGGCACACACACACACACACCCAGTCCTGGAAGAACAGCCAGGACTGGCACACACACACACCCAGGACTGGGATTTGCTGCGGGCGTGTACAAATGGCTGCGGACAAGTGAAAAGGGCAACGCACGGCTGCAAAAGGGCGCCGGAGCTGCAAATGGTCTGCAGATTTGCTGCGGGCATGCAAAAATGGCTGCGGGCAAGCCTGCCAAAACAAGCTGAAGGAAAAGGCAGCAGAAAAAACACGTACAGCGCGCTTTTAAAGCTACGGGTTGAAAGCGTGAAAGGACGGCAGAATTTAAAAGGCTACGGGATGCTGCGGGAGGCTGCAGCAAAGAGCTCTGGAAAAGGCTGCGGATTTGAATAAAAGGCTACGGCCGGAAAAAAAAGCTACAGGACAAGAGCAATCAAGAAATGGCTGCGGACATGGCGCCAGAAAAAGGCTGCAAACATGTTAGAAACGGCAAATAGGGAAAACTGCAAACAGGTGGCCAGAAGCTTCGAAAATACAAGCCGAACATCACGCCACACACGCACACACACACTCAGTCCTCTGCGCCGCGGGCTCTGGGCGAAGACTTCTTGGTTTCCAACTGCACAGGGCCACGCGCAAGCGGCGAGAACAAAAGACAAGCAAGCCTTCCAGGCCTTCGTCCAGTGCTCCATGTCAAGACCCCATGCTCTCAAGAGTTCACCAGTGCAAGCATCCTCGGACTGATCGAAGCAAACAATTGTACTGGGCAGAGGAGTGGGGCATTGAGACAAGTCACTCGAGGAGGCGTCTTGTTGTACAGGTACTTTTTCAAGAGGCTGTACAAGTACCGCAATGACCATGCTTGGTCACTGATCACTTTTCCAGACGGGTTGAGGCCAGCCGAGATGTAGAGCGCTTGCAACTCAGCCTGCAAAGATTCAATTTGAGGAACGACATGAAATTGGCCGCGCATCTTCTCCATCATCGGCTTCAAGGCCGGGGCATTGTACTTCATGTTCTCCACCGTCTTGGCCACAACCTGCCCTGCCTCTTCCGCCTCTCCTTCTTTCGGCTTGTCAACCACCAGCCGGCCGAGACTTCGCACGCGCTCCCGCAAACGACGGTGGTTGTACCACTCCTCCCGCAGGCCTTCGAAGGCAGCAAAGACCCCTTCATCTGCTGGAACCATGAGGGGCAAGAGAGCAGCGCCTAGACTGGAGCAAGCGTGGCTGCATAGTGCACGGCTGCATGAAACATAGCTGCGCAAACATATAGCTGCTTCAAACACAGCTGCTTCAAGCTGCATCAAGACGGCTGCGTCAAACGCTGCACTTGCGCACTCCCCCGCGAAACAAGCCAGGATGACGGAAGCATGCACGCGCTGCATTGCCCACGCTTGAACAAAAATGGCAGCGCATCCACTCATGTCAGGATTCTCGTCCGAGTCCGGGTTTTCTTTTCTTAGTCCGGGCTTTCTTTTCTTTCCCTCTTCCTTCACAACCGCGAAAACAAAAAATCTTTTTTTCAAAAAGATTTCTTTTTGCTTGTTTGCGGCTTGCCTGGAATCTATACTAATGCAAGAATTCCGAGGAACAAACTGTCGCCTGAACCTCGCTACTGTACCTCGCATGACTTCCTGTCATGCCTGAACCAACGCTCCGGGAGCTTCCGCAACGCCGCTGTAGGAGGTCTAGGATGAACATGCTGAAAACTCAGATGCCGCACTCTTTTTTACGGGGCGGGTGCCTGGGTTGTTTCGAAAAAGCAAGCCTGCCCGGAGGTCGATGCCATCGGATAGAGGTGAGAGGTGATAGAAACACGACTATATGTTTCGAGTCGGAGCCGCGGTAGCCGCTTGGCTTCCTTTCCAACCCGGGAGCACGAACAAAAGGCTCAGTATTGAATGTTGCCACTGGAGGACTTGTCCTGTTTATCTCGCTTCAACTGCTGGAACCCAGAAAGAGGCTTCCCCAGATTGATGCATTTCGGAATATTTCACAAGTGTGGCACGGACATCCCGCGTCCATGATATGTGTTCACCGATAAGTAATCCATGTAGACAATTCATGAATATGAATAAAGCCCCCGCACATACCCGCAACATATACCATACGGTATACCAGGGGGTGTGGCTGCCTAGTTTATTTTATACAAAAAGACAGCTTTCGACCAGTGGGACAACTGCTTAGCACCTTTCGACCTGCCGGGTCTCCGGTTTCCGTCGACCACGGACACCAGTCGACCGAGGTCGGTCTACTGGGCGTTTACGTCGACGGCCTGGGGCAGTTGTGTCAGCTGCCCGCGCTGCAGCACCGATGGAGCGAGGCCGAGCTGTAATTGGAGGGGTGAAGGGATCAATCTGGAGCCTTCGTTGGTATTCCATGGTATTCATATACTATTATATATATACTTATATGTATGCATTAAAGATTATAAGTTCATCATGTTCATCCAAATTTATCCATGCATACAAGGATTTGGTAGCCATTGGTCCGGCTCATCCCAGGTTTTGAGTGTGTATGTGTTGTGCTTTTAAGCATTTTCTGAGGTACTTCCAAGGGTTCAGGTAAGCGGATTGGCATGTCTCAACATGTCCAAAGTTCTGCGAATCCAATCCTTTTGTTGCGTGTGAAGCATGGTATTTTTGTGTTTGAGAGGTTCAACGCAAGCACTTAACTTATATAAGTCAATTGGACACTTTTGGGGCCTTGTGGTACACAAGTGTTGTCAAGGGCTTCCTTACGCGGATGTTTCAGGAAGTGTGTCATTCAGATGTTGGTATGTGTCTTGGACAATCATTAAAAGAATGCAATGTCAGTTTTCAAGCGGTGCTTGTTGACTGGATCGCTGCAGTATGCGTGTTTGACGTACATGACACCTTTCATTCAATCTGAGTGTGGGTCAAAGTCAAACAAGTCTTTCTTCTCAGAGTCTGTCTTGTTGTACGACTTGCGCAGTCTGGACTTAAGCCATTGAACGGTATGACCGAAGATGACTCTTCTCAGATTGTGATCACACTAAGCTGTACGACTTCCCCCACACTATTTCGTTCGTTCGCTCGGTACAGACCACCCAGGGTTGGGTGGTCTCCCCTCATTGGTTGATCTCCAAAATCCTTGAAAAAGCTCCAAAACCAGTCAAGACCAAAAAGAAGGCGCTGAATCAAATCCAATTTGCCCCCAGCTGTGGCCCGCCCCAGCTGTCCAAGTCCGAGCAACAAAAGCCGCAGCGGTGCTGCGACCCGTCAGACCTCATCTGGGCGGTCGTTTTCCCAGGTTTGCTCCCAAGCGGCGCCCAATGTGCCAGAGGCACCATGGGGCAAAACTGGGAGATCACATCGATTCGAAAATTCAGGAGATCGTGAGGCTTCAACTGATTGACTCAACCAGAGACGGATGGTCCCCTTCTTGCTGTCATGTTGAGGATTTCTTTTGTTCAAGGTATACATGGACAGCATTTAGAACTCACCTGCCTCGATGGGCCGGCTCCCGCCACGCGTTTGGGTGCCTGTTTACTTCTAAAAGTTGGCGTTTGCGGGTCACTGGATGGGTGTTTTCTGCGGCCGGGATCGCTGGGGGGAATCCGAGCGCAGCGCCATCGGGCAGGTCCTTCCCTGGCCATTGCTCCGTACCTCGGCATGGCGAACGGGACGGGAGACGGTCCGGCGCCATTGAAAAGAGGTGGCCACCGATGGATGCTTTCAAAAGAGTGGGACTTGTTCGGGGTTCAGGTTTCTTGGGCAAACAAAAGAAACTTTCACAGCCAAAAGTTGACTTAAAGAAGGTATGAAAGGGAAGTCTTCCAGATTTCCAGATCTTCCAAAGGATGACAAAGATGACTCTAGATTCTCAAAAATTCATGGACGACGGCGATCCCAACACTACTCAGATGGATCGAGTTCCAGACATGTTCAGGGAAACGTTCCAGAACGAATTGAAGGGACCTGTACAACAGAAATGATAGAACATTGGAATCAGGGAAAAAAAAACAACTTTCACACTGTTTGAAATCAGGCCCAGAAAAACACAAAAACAAAACCATTCGTTCAAGTCAAACAAAACTCGGTTGCTAGAATCGTGCTGCTTCCTACGAACATCGTCCTGGCCGGTCCTGGCCGAGGTGAGATTGTGCGCTTCGTGCTCCTCCGGCCTATGGAGGCAGTCGGTCGGTGTGCGCAGTCGGTCGAGCGATGCCTTGGGTTGTTCGACGCATCGGGTGGAGTCAAATGAAGCAAGAAGCGGACGTCAGAAAGCTGTGTTCATAGGTGTTTTTGGTACTGCACTGTCCTGAAGAAGAAGGCCCTAGAAGGGTTGCGGGTAGTAGGCAGAATCTATAGCAGTGTGCAAAATCACAGTAAGTAGCAGTAGCAAGTCACTCTGTATTTCTTGCTTGGTATTTAATTATCATCTTTTATGTAAAGACCCGGTGTCAAAGGGTGTACACGTTGAAAGCTCTTGCACTGATGAATAGGAACCCTCAAACACTTGCATTGGTCCCCCGCGTTTGGATGTCATCCATTCCTTTGGACTTCCTCGCGGCTCATTCCGCGCCGAACCAGGACGACGCGGCAGCTTTGGCGCCTTCAGCGAGCTCCTCCCTGCGGCCCTCGGAGGCTGACGCCCGTGCGAGTTCAGTCCGAGTGGGCTCCTGGCCGAGCGGCGGACTCGGATGTGGGTGGGTTACCATGCGGGGGGCCATCCCTACCAATGGGAGCCCGGATGTGGGACAGGAGCACCATGAGATACCATGAGGATTGATTCATAGCACCCTTGTGTGGAGAATTGTGGAGATGTTCTTTACAATAAGGTTTCCAAATCTCCTAGTGAGTCAAGAGTCAGCATTACTGGGTTTGTGAAGTTTGGTTGCATCATGGGGTTGTAACAACAAATGACTGGGACTTGCCGGCGACTGTGCTTAGGACTCACAAGACTAGGGCTTATTGTGGTTTATATGTCAGCAGACATGACCATTTTGTTCTGCCGGTGCAGGCACTGGGGGGTGCTCTCGGACATCATCAGGTGACACAGTGTGGAGGAAAGATCCAAGGCTGTTTACATTAAGTTAGTAGCAGGTTGGAGGCCATCGCTACTAGGGTGGAGGCCATTACTACTAGTAGCTAGAAGCTACTAGAAGCTAGTCTAGAAGCTATATTCAGTTGCTAGTAACTGGGAGATCAACCTACCAGGATTTGGGCCCAAACAGGGCTTCGGTTTCGATCCCATTGGGCGCCCCCTCGTCGCCAGGCCGTGCTCACTGCCGAGTCCAATGCGACCAGGCAAAGCACCGGGGTCGCTGGGAGACGACGCTCTTCAGGAGTCAGGCATGTGATCAAGCCAACTCCAGTTGATTATGTAATAATAGCTTTGCTAGCTGCTAGTAGCTTTGCTAGTTGCTTTGCTTTGCAAGAAAAATACCCCCATATGAAATGGTTGATCGATTCAAATGGGAGGGTTATTAATCAAGAGTCTACATTATTAACGTTGCTAGTCGCTTTGCTTTGCAAGAAGTAACTGCCAAACAATTATTCGTTTGGTCTCGATCAGTCCATTTGGGTGAGTATTGTGTTGCCGTTTTTCAACCTTTGATTTGTTGATTTCACAAGTCCCTCACCTCAGTAATTAGCATATCTTCAACAGCTTGTTCAGCCACATACACCGCGCCAAGTCGATCTATCCTCAGTTCATTTGCACCAAGTGAGGTGATGCCGGTGCCTCGAGAAACGGCCCGTTTGATGATTAATGGTACCACACATGGGCGGTATCCAACTCAATGGTTCCTTTTCAACGTGCGGTACCTCAGCTTGACGTTTGGGTAATAGGCTGGTAGCTTCAGGACGCAGCTTAGCGCTTCGATGTATGTATCGCATGACCTGCAGAACTTGCCAGTAGTCTAGGATCCGGAGATTGTCCCATAATTTAGCACAAGATAGAAGCCGACAGCACTTGTCACCCATGAAGAATCAGAGATGTCTCTCTTTTCTATGCTTTTCTCACCACTCCTGAAGTACCCAGTCGAAATCTGCATTCACTCCTGAAACCCCACCAGCCACGTACGCCTCGCATGCCAGGCTTTTGCAGATGCCCAGCACCTGGCGCCATCGTTTGGAAAGTCAGGGCGCCTCTCAGCTTGCTGTGCCCTGGTCGGGCCTCCTGGAATGCTGGCCAAGGGGGAAATGAGCACGGTAGTGTATACATGATGATACATGCACAGACAAGTGCAAGGAGGTCTTACTGCAATCGATCTACTTATCACTATGAAGAACCCGCCACAACCGAGAGTCACTCCTGAAAAGAGCTGCGCACCCTGCACATGTGTCCTACGCGCGAGGGCGTGATCATATGAAGATCCTATCGTCCTTAAGCTGGGCACATTCTGTGGACACTGAGTCCTTTTGACGTTTTGAACAAGGGATTTAATAATGATGAAGACCGTGGGAAAAGCAGCAGCAGCAGCAGCAGCAATAGCTACAGCAATAGCTAGTAGCAGTAGCAGTAGGAGTAGGAGTAGTACTAGTACTAGTAGTAGTAGTAGTAGTAGTAATACGAAAAATTGACCTGGTTGTGGGCTCGGATTAACTGGGGGGGATTGTTGGTAGAAAACTAGACCATAGGGGGGGAAATCAACAGCGAATAATACTTTTAATTTGGGCAATTTTCGGCGGCTTTGTGGGCTCGGGTTAACTAGGGGGGATTGATTAAGTCCTACTTTAACATTATCCAGTATTCCAAAGGCCTTGGTTCAGTTGCATCATCGGACTGTGAAGGTCAAGCTGTTCAGGCTCATTTCAGGCACTTTTTTTAGTGAACAACGAGGCTCCAGAAGGAAAAGCTAGTTGTTGAGGTCAGGATGCCAAAATGTGTTTGATTGAGAGTGTGTTATGTCATAGCAAACAGCGTTCGCTCGACTTTAGACTGATTGCGTGTGTGGTGCACCATGGTGCACCAAAGCTGCACAAGCAGTGCCCTTGAAACGATCGATGTTGGGACCCTGGAATGGGCATGCCCTGATAATCCATGGGACTAGAGTATTTACTTTCATTGACATCTCAAAACATCTCAACACCTAGGGATGGGCACTCTTCGGAAGACTGCATACTTACATTTGGCCCTGCTATATCGACAGTTTTGCAGGGTTTTCAAAATCACTTTTTACAAAGTTGTTTGGTGAGTATGTGATTTTTGGACTTTACTCATACATCTACAACAGTGGGTGAGAAAGGGAAAGTTGGAGAGAACATCTCTGTTGCGGGGTTGTTGTGATGGCCTCCAACTTGGTTGATCATGCCAGTGGTCATATACTTGTCTCAAACATTTTAATCCATGCATGTCTCAGTTTTTTAGCGTTTACAGAGTGGTGGCAGAGCGGTGGCAAAAAGCAGTTGTGGTGTTCGTTTTCAGGAAGAGTTCAATCTTGCAAAAGCATTTTGATATGCTTTTTGTCACTGGAGCCGGCTGAGGAGCCACGTGAAGAAAGAACAAATGACTCAAAATGCGAGGCCCCCGAAACAGTCGGATATCGTCGTCGGATAGGACATTAAATATGTATATTATATATAATATATACATATTTGTATGCAGATTGGAATTGTATAGAGTGAACCTTACAAATAGTTTGCAAAAGTTCTTGAATGATCGTGAATCCTCATGAACCCCTCAAACCTCAACTGGTCGAAAAAACATGGACAGTGAAACTCCCACGTGGCAAAAGTCAAGTGGTCTCCCTCCCCAGCCACAGCCCAGTGGATCCCGTTACAGTACCACTTATAGCTGGTAAGTAGTGAATCTAGTGATTGCCAAGACTAACTCATACTAAAACCATCTAAAACCATAGACCTCAAATCCCTGGTTCTTTACTACTGGTGGCTGGGATCCACTTCGGAGCTGCTCACCCATCAGCTTTTGAGCCCCCAGGTTAGCCTGTGTGGATGAAACCAATGGCGCGTACTGGCGGCTCAGCTTTGCTAGCGGGGTGAGCGGGGCAGCGCACCCAAAAAACCGGCCATCCGAATCAGGCCGCCTACAAACGCATGCAAAATCGCACACCCAAGCAGTAGTCCGCCACAGATGCTGAGTCGGGTGATCGAATGTGATCAAAGGGCGACAGACACAGGGGGTGTCTGGAGTCTGGAGTGGTGGGGCGACCATCCAGTCCTGAGACCATCAGAGGTGGATGAGACACGATACTTGGATACTTGTACCTTTCATTGGAAGCCAGCCACCTTGACAGGCCTCCTAAGCTAATTATACATCTAATTACTGTTGAGGAGAAGGATCTTGGTTTCCTTGATGTTCCTTGTGAGTTTAGACAACCAGGCTCACAAATCAATCTGTGGAAAAAATCCTTGCAAAGCTTCCCTCTTGCAGTTTCCCCCATGGGAAGAGATGCATCCTTGGGGCGTAAGACTCCGTCGCCGCAGCGGGGTGTCCATCCGCTGCAGTGCTCAGCATGTCGCTCAGCTTGCAGTGCTCAGGGTCCTCAGTCGGATTCACCAAGATGCCTTGAGAGTGTTGGACTGAAACCTCACAGGATCAACACTTGACTGGTAAGGCAGAACAGGGGATATTGAATAAGAGGCTTGAAACGTTAATAAAAGATAATCAACATATTGAACAACCGGCATGAATTGGCAGACATGTTTTTTGTAAGCAGGATCAAAACCAAGCCGAGAAGCTCCTCCAGGCGTCAATGGGAGAAGCTCATCGAGGTCTTCGAGAACACCTTGCGCGTGCGCAGCGCAGAGGTGCAAGTGTCGGTTCGATGATTTTCGGTGGTCCAAGTTGGTTCCTTTGTTTGGAGGTTGGGGTGAGATGTCGGCTTAGCTGAGTGTTTGGGGATAATATATGTTTGTCCATTTGGCATATTCATTCAGTTTGCAGTACCTAGTATACAACCATAGTGCCTCAGTCAGTATTGCTGGCCATGCTCGTACTACCCATAGCCACATGGAGACACAAAGTGGTATATAGGAACGCTGTCTTGGGCACATTGCAAGGATCCATCATTGTGATTGTTGCTTCAGCCAGAGTTTCTACTGGAAAGATGTTCGAAACATGTTTGCTTGGAATCAACATTCACGGATGCCAAGGAGCTACAGTTCCCACACCCCTTCTGTTCTTCGTTTTTGAATCGCATTTACGGCTCACCAACTGAGCAACCCTTTTTTGTTGGTATGTAAGGGTTTATAGTGATCCCTAAATAGATATAGAAACGGTTTTCATCGGCTTCCAATACATTTTGAAAAGGAGTTTACGTTTAATTCAATCTATTTGGGGGTCTATATTATGTCTGAAAGTGGAACTGCAAGGCAATTCCAACAAAGTTTTGTGCATGTGCGAAGGCATGCGAAACCAATTATCGCGTACACGTACAATGATTCTTCGCGAAGGCACCTTGCGTATACACGCAATCCTTTGTTGTAATTGATTCGTTTCTTGCAGTGATGAGTATCCTTCGCAGTTGTGGAGACATTGCTCATCTCTTCTGGGATATGTTTTGTTTTATCCCTCGAGGGAAGTAAGCATTGGAAAGCCAAAAAGGTGCGAAAGCACATTGCGAAGGCAACACATACAAGTTCAGATGCGAAGGCAGTGCTTCCAGTGTATAAGGCCCCATAGTTCAGTGGTCAAAGACCACTGCTGTAGCTGCAACGTTCACCCGTTCAATGGAATCGACAGCCGAATTTGTGTTTGTTTCCAACAGTTATATAGGATGTCCATAGTATGTCCTTGTGTTGTCCAACAAACATAATTACCCTAAGAATCCGGGCCCAAACCAACTGAATGGGTTTGGTTCAGGTCCAGACCCCTGCTACAGTATGGAGGGACAGTCCAAGGATTCTTAGGGTAGCATGAAGCACATCCACATTCTGAATGGTTTTGATTCTTGGACGCCAGAAACAACCATCACCGCAGAACATGTCGTGGGATTTCCATAGTTTGTACAGAACACACGTGCTCCATCGCAGCATTTGTTCGCCGCATCGTAGCCTGGCCCTCGCATGCAGGCCCTTGCCTCTGGTGCTTCAGGCTGCCGCATCCGGTGCTTCATGTGTTTTTCTTTTGTCAATTATTGTTAATTGAAACATTAGTTGTTTACATGTTATCGTTTTGAAAAAAATAACACACCTAGAAGTTGAGCCGAGGCGTCCCCAGCGTCTCCCTACATTCACACATCTAGCATCATCTAGCGATTGTCCTCTAAGAGACATGTTTGGAACAAATAAATAGCCAACCGAGTTCATCAGCAAACCAACAGTTGGGCCCACAGGCAAGGCCGAACTGTCCCCAACGGCCAGGTGGAGTCTAGTGTGATGGAGAAACGTGCCAGGGTCAGAGTTGTTAAATGTCCCACATCTCAAAGAACCAGAAGTCTAACCCTTTTCATACCTCTTTCTGCAACCATTTTCGTGCTTTGCGACCGGTGGAATTGCTCGGCCGGCCTTCAACTCGGCGAAGTTTGGAGGTTTCGACTCCGCCTTCCTGCAAGAAGTGATGCAGCTCCACTCGGTGCTGCATGAGAACTTGCAGAACAAGTTCACGAACTTCCAGGCGTCGATGTTTTTGTTTGATAGATGAAACGATCTGTTTTTTTGTGGAAAAGGATCCTTTCGACCTGGGACCTGTTGGATGGTGACCAAGTATGGTCAGTCCATCGGTATGCGACAGACCCGCGACGGACCTCCGAAGTTTCTGTTGCTCGAGCAGCCAGAATCAGCTCCGGGCAGGGCATGGGGGAGCTGGAAGAAGTTGGATGTTGAAGATGCTGGAGCTATGTGGTGGACACATGTACATGTGGACACCGGATTTCTTTGTCTAATCCTAGGATTGAACTCTTCATGATTCATGTACAGAACATCCTGCATTTTTTGGGAGTTTCCTAAGTGCATTTTCCTGTGATGCTTAGTTTCACAGCCAGCACCCAAGAACCCCTCAGTCCAGCCAGCGCTAGGCAGACGTCATGCAGCAGGTCGGCCACTTGCGGTCCTCGCAGAGCGAGTCGGGGAACGCAGGTCGATGTCGGTGGGCCTTGATGGGAGAAGATGTTGAAGACCCTGCCCTGGGGTTCCTGTCCCACATCCGAACAGAAGGTGGTTAGACCCCCCCTGGCACCCACCCCAACCACCTTCTGTTTGGATGTGGGAGAGGAGCACGGACCAGTTGAGGCCTAACTGAGAAGAGAGGAGACAGTGACGACCGAATGTTTGAGGGTCTGCATGGAAAGTATGCTCCTTCAGCGGCCAGAATGGTGCGTACTTGTTCGAAAAATACACGTTTGACTCTCAGACTACTGTGACAGACCCCACGTTCTACGGGGGATGCTGTCAGTGCCATCCCAAGGTCAGCCTTTAGCACCATGCTGCAGGAAAAGATGAAGGAGATATGCTGGAGAGTGCTGGTGTTTGCAGACTTCTGTGGCCGTTGGAAATGAAGTATCTTTCCAGGAGCCAACAAGTTAACTACTCTCTTAGAAGCAAGATCAAAGGCATGCTGTTGCACTCGTGACATGGACTGTCTCTAGAAGGTATACGGCATGGAAAGACACGATCGGACAATGTGACGTAGACATAGGAAGGACAACAAGCCCATTACGCTCCCTGATCATGGAAGCGGCAGACCACCTGTTTGTACCGGAATATGGTCTTCCATGCTTATTTTCAGGGAGTGTATTTATACTAATTCCAACGAGACTTGGTCTTGTTACGGAATAATTTTCGCTATGCATTTACATAGCTTGGATTGGATAGAGAGGTTTGTGATGTGAGAAGAATGTGACCCTCATTAGGAGGGGTGAGCAATTGCTTTTGGGAGGATGTGTTGGACAACCAATAAAATACGTTTGGTGGATCAACATTGGAGACTATGCAAAGGAAGCTTTCTAGATGATATGGTTGTATATAATTTATCAAGTTATGGGACTTTAGTGACTGAAGAGATTGCCTCCAAATGAAGTTTGACCCCGAACACCTGCCTGGTAGGGTGGACAACGGGACGAAAGAAACATCAAGAAACATATTGATTGAACACAAAATAAACACTCAGGACTCGGGCTACAGGTTTTCCACGTGAAAGACAGTTCCAATGCTTTGGTGACATCGCCAGGACCCCAGTTGGTGCTCACAGCTGGGAATCCCCTCCGAAGCCTCCTTGCGCTCGGCCACAGGCGAACGGCGGGGTTTGGGGTGTTCGAATGGATGTGGGGCACGGAGCCCCACTGCTTGGTCAACCCAAAAGGGTCTCTTCCGCAAGCTGCTCACTTATTGCTTCAACCCATGATGTATTTATATAACAACAACCTCAACTCAAAAACAAAAGCATTCTCTTTTGTAGGACCTGTAACCTGATGTATGTACATGGTACATTTGCCAGGAAGTCGTCTCAGGAGGTGTTCTGGAGTATAGTCCACTCCAAAACTTAGAACATTTTCAGTCACCCTTTCATTGCCTGGACACCAGCTACGCCTCGCTCAGACTTCCTCGAGGGCTCGGCGGGCACGTCGGGTGTGACTTGGATGCGATTTGTAATGACCACCAAACGCTGTTGTGACTGCTGTTTGTAAGTGAGAAAGTTGCACCATGATTTCCCTTGTCCTTGGCACCTCGCGGTTCGAAACTAGGATCCTGAGCCTTTACCCGTTTTTCACCTTGCGGTGTGCGGAAACATGTTTGCGCGCTGATCGCCGATCGGACGCTGTCGAGTTGGCACCGGAGCTTGGCTTGGTGCTTTTGGACGGCCGTGTAGGCCTTTGGCATTTCGATGCCCATCCCTTTCAGGGGGGCTGATCCTGGCGACGAGGAGCTCGCTTCCCACCTTTCGGACTACGACTTCGACTATGACTTCGAGGCCTTCGACGGTGGTGATGGCGGCGATTCGCCATGGTCGGATCCCTGGTCGGAGCCTCAAGCACCAAGAACACCGATCCAGGACACGAAGGATGATGATGAGCCCACACCATGGCGCTGTTTGCGTTGTGATGGCCAGCGGCTCTCTCCCTCGGAGGGCCACAGCGGTTGGATTTGTTTGACGTGCTCCCACGACGAGTTCTACCGGGTCGACAGGCCTACCAAGAAGGTGAACCCCTCTGGCACCTGGGTTTTCGTTCCTACCTCACCCGGCAGGGAATCCAAGGCCCAGAAGAGACGCCGCAGGAGGACCAAGCATGGAGGCCCACCGGATGGAGATGAAGGAGATCTATATGAAGAACAAGCCGAATCAGAAAGACTCACCAATGACCCAGTGGTCGAACCTGAGCCACAGGGTGCAGGACGCCAGCTTGGTGGTCATGGACGAGGCCCACGACGAGCTCTTCCAGGAACACCTGTTCGAGGTTCCGGAGTATCTCAAGGCCCTCCACCTGATCTACCTGATCCACCGGGCGCGGCGGACCCTCCTGGCGCAGCTGGATCGCCACATCGGTCGACGGCCCCTCGAGCCCCTCGATTACCCGATTCAGGACGCCTTGAACGTTCTGGACTACCTGATCAGACTCCTGACCGGTCACGACATTCCGGGAAGGAGGACAAGAGCTCATCTCAGGGCTCATGGAACTCAAAGAAAGGGCCAGCACCAGGCCTGAAATGGAAGTCGGGACAACCTCCTCCTGTCCCGACATGGAAGTACGACCAGTCTGACATGAGGGCATTTGCAAAGTTCACCAAGAAGATCAGCATCTGGCGCCTCCAAATGGAAGCTTACGCCAGCAAGAAGGACCAGGCCCTCATGTTGTACAACGGCCTCACTGGTGAACTTGAACAAGAACCGAACATTTGGACATCGAGCAAATCCATCGGGATGACGGAGTGGACGTCATCATGAGGCTTTTGCAGCGGCCATTTGAGCAACGCATCATCTACCAAAAACGTCGCTTCCTGCACGAGTTCGAATCCTTCCGCCGCTTCAACCAGGAAAGCATGCGGGCCTATGTGCAGCGCTTCAGACGCGTTCAGAGGTCCCTCCTGGCGGTCGGAGTCGACATATCGGGAACGTTTGATTCCGATTCGCTCGGCTCAAGGCTTTTGGACCGCAGCGGATTGAGTCATCATGATCAACGGATGATCTTGGTGGGCACGCAACAAAGCCTTAGCTTTGAGGCCATTGCAGAATGCCTCGTTCTCCAATGGCCAGAGTTCAGACCGGCTCCAGCGGTCATGTCTGGATCCGGAAAAGGCAAAGGGAAGAGTTTGACCTCGAGCTCTTCTACCTCCTCCTCGACTACCACATCGAGCTTCACGAAAGGTGGCAGCAAAGGACCACCAAGACGGCAGACCTACTTGACTGAGGTCCCCGAGATGGAGGTCGCTGAAGATGAAGAGTTCGCCGATGCTCAGGAAGACCCCGAGTGTGACGCTGATGGCGATGCAGAGCCATCGAACGGCGATGACGCCGAAGGAGATCCTCAAGAGGACGAACCTGACCTCTCCGAGCTCGCTGAGGTCCTCACAGTGACAGCCCGAAAACTCAGCGGCATCACTTTGGGTCGAAAGTTTTCCAATTCAGCTGGTGGCAAAACCAAGAAGTCGCCCGAAGAGCTTCGAAAAACGACTCACTGCTCGGCATGTGGCGCCTCGGGCCACTGGTATCAGGACTATGTCCACTCAATCCAGGAGCTGGTGGAGGAAAAGCTGGAGGAAAGTCCGGCAAAGGACCAAAGGGATCCTCGACCTCCTATCGTTCAGCAGGTCACGACAAAAAGCCCACTCACTCCGTGTCCGTCGTGCAGCACCACCAGTATGGGTCGTTGGAGGTTGGGACGCCCCCGGATGAGTTTGGTTCAGCTTTCTCCATCAACATGGTCAATAGCATCCCCTACAAGGTCAATGAGGTCAAGAACTATTCCACGGACGGGGAGCTTGCTGGTTTTATGGTTTTGGATTCGGCATGCCAAAGGACTTGTTGTGGAACCCTTTGGTATCGGCACCACCAAGAGCTTTTGGGAGACTACCCTATAGATCGGGTTAGGTTTAAAAACATGAGTTAGGTTATTTGAAACAACCTAACCTAGATAGTTAACTATAACCTACGTAGGTTAATTGAAATCAAGGTTGTGGTTAGGTTATTTGCATGAATAACCTAACCTAAGCTTAGGTTAGGTTAAGTTAAAGGTTAGTTTATTCTTATGAATAACCTCAGGTTAAAGGTGTATTTTGAAACAAAACCTGATGTAAGTTTACTTGTTGGAGCTCTTTTCGCCAGTTGTTATTTTAGAGCCTTAACGGTTTTTGGAGAAGAGAAAGAGAGAGAGAGAGAGAGAGAGAGAAGACAAAGAGAGAGGAGAGAAGAGAAGAGAAGAGAAGAGAAGCGAAGGGAAGGGAAGGGAAGAGAAGAGAAGCGAAGCGAAGCGAAGGGAAGGGAAGGGAAGAGAAGGGCAAAGCAGAGCAGAGCAGAGCAGAGAGAAAAGATAAAAGAGAAGAGAGAAGAGACGAGAGAGGAGAGAAGAGAAAGAGAGAAGAGAAAGGAGGAGAGAAGAGAGAATCGGAGGAATAGAGAAGAGGAAGAGAGAAGAGGGAAAGAGAAGAGGGAAGAGGGAAGAGAGAAGAGACAGAGAGAGAAGAGACAAAGAGAGAGAGAGAGAGAGAAAGAGAGAAAGAGAGGGAGAGGGAGAAGGGAGAAGGGATAAGGGGAGGAGGGGAGAGGGGAGAGGAGACAGGGAGAAGGGAAGAGAGAAGAGAAGGGAGGAGAGAAGAGATGAGAAGAGAAGAGAAGAGAGAAGACAAGAGAAGAGAAGAGAAGAGAAGAGACGAGACGAGAGGAGAGGAGAGGGAGAGGGGAGGAAGAGAAAAGAGGAAGAGCAAAGAGGAAGAGAAAAGAGGAAGAGAACAGGAACAGAGAAAAGAGAAAAGAGGAGGAGAAAAGAGAAAGAGAGAGAAGAGAGAAGAGGAAGAGAGAAGAGAAAGAGAGAGAGAGAGAGAAGGAGAAGAGAAGGGGAGGGAGAAGGAGAGAGAGAGAGGGAGAGAGAGAGGGAGAGAGGAGCGAAAGAGAGAGAAGAGAAAGAGCGAGAAGAGAAAGAGAGGAGAGAATGAGAGAAGAGAAAGAGAGAAGAGAAAGAGAGAGGAGAGCAAAAGAGAGAAGAGAAAGAGAGAGAAGAGACAGATAGAGAAGAGAAAGCGCGGAGAGAATGAGAGAAGATAAAGAACGAGAAGGGAAAGAGAGGAGAGAATCAGAAAAGAGAAAGAGAGAAGATAAAGAGAGAGGAGAGAAAGAGAGAGGAGAGGAAGAGAGAAGAAGAAGAAGAGAGAGAGAGAAGAGAGACGAGAGAAAAGACGAGAGAGAAGAGAGAGAAAAGAGATTAGAGAGAGAAGAAATTGAAGGGAGATAGAGAGAGTGAGAGAGAAGAGAAAAAATAGTGAATCACATTTTCCTGAGTCATCGCCCCCTAGTGAGGGCAAGGGCCCCTAATGATGCACGTGATGCGTGCCGAACTCTTTCTTAGAAGGCTTTGAAAAACCAGCGCGGGAACCTTCCGAGTTTTTTCTTTCTCGGAAGTTTCTCGCGTGGGCCCCTTCCATCCAAACCGATGCAGGGAGGGAGGGGAGGGAGGGGAAAAGGCTTTTGAAATGAACCCACAAAGTGCTCTCAATTGAAGATCTTTCATTTGAAGAACTCTCAAGTGAAGATCTCTTAAATGAAGAAACCTCTCAAGGGAAGAAACCTTTCAAACTCTCAAGTGAAGAACTCTCCATGGAAACCTCTCAAATGAAGAAACCTTGCCGATTCCAACTATTATCAACATATGCTTTAAGTAAACTTCCAATATACTCAAGTAAAAAGAGTCTAAGACTTTCCCACCTATTCTCAAATGACACAATTTCGCAAGTAAAGCTGGATGTCAACATCTTAGGATATATTTTTTGAAATGGCATCTTTCAGTAGTTTTTAATTGAGAGCTTTGGAGACACCAAGACACCAGGAAGGGAGATTTCAAAGTATTTGGCAAATTGCCTTTGGCCACAGAGTAACTAAATGGGAATGCGGGGCGGTTGTTAACAGAGGGTCAGGGGACAGTTCACTGAGGGTTTCACTTGAGTTCTTTTCCAATTCCATCAGATGAAGGTAATGCCGAAAATATGGGTTTCTAAGATTTTCTAGACAGATTTTCATGAATTTCTTGAATATTTTGCATTTGTTTTCAACGAGTTTTCTTGCTTTGGAAGTATAGTTGTGAAAGGTTGATGAAAAGTTTGATGAAAAGTTGCATGAAAGTTTCATGAAAGTTTCACTGTGGTATGAAAGTTTGATGAAAGTTTTCATGAAAGTTTCATGAAAGTTTCATCAAACTTTCATACCAAAATGGAAGTTTCATGAAAGTTTCATAGTACATGGAAAGGTTCATGAAAGTTTCATCAAACTTTCAAGTTGATATGAAAGTTTCATGAAAGTTTCATCTAACTTTCATGATCATATGAAACTTGCATGAAAGTTTCATGAAACTTTCATCCAACTTTTCATCAAACTTTCACAACTATACTTCCAAAACAAGAAAACTCATTGAAAACAAATGCAAAATATTCAAGAAATTCATTGAAATCTGTCTCAGAAAACATATTTTCAGTATTACCTTCA